GCTGTGGGCAGCGCCAGAGCTGCTGGGACACATCAGACCGGTGTCAGAGGTTGTGTTTAGGTAATTAGCCTCAGGATATGTGCCCCCCTCCTCCTCTTCCTCCACTCTCTGTGACTGGGATCATCAGACCCAATAACATCAAGGACCAGACTGATTGGTCCAGTGCTGATTTCTGGAAGGTTCATTTAAGAGAAGCTAAAACTGGAGAAATATGATCTCTTCTTCCAACTCTCATTAAAACTCTAGCAGCAGCATTTTGGATTAACTGAAGACTTCTCAAAGAGTTTTTTGGATGCCAGATAATAAAGAATTACAGTAATCCAGTCTAGAAGTGATAAATGCACGAATCAGTTTATCTGTGTCATTTTTGGACAAAATGTTTCTAATTTTAGTGATATTATGAAGCTGGAAGAATGCGGTCCTGGTAACATTTTTAATGTGGGTGTTAAAAGGCATATCCTGATCAAAAATAACACCAAGGTTCTTTACATTAGAATTGGGGGCCAGATTAATGCCATCCAAAGAAGGTGAAAGGCTGCAAAGTTGATCCTTAAGATGTCCAGGTTCAAAAACCACAACCTCACTAGTACCCTTCAGTCAAATGTAACGATGATTCTCCAAAACGTACTACAGCTGATTATTAAATGAAAATTATTTATTTAACCTCCTAGAACGTTTAATTCTCAGGCATTTTATTCTTTTCAAGTCAAATGAAAAAAAAAAAGATAAAAATGTTGCCTTGAAAGTGAAAAAGTAATTAAATAAATAAACCAGGTAATCGCAGGTGCAGAAAACAGCAGCGTCCAAAATGTGTCAGAAACTCACCCAAAATGAGCAAATTCCATGAGATTCCACGTTTTATATTGGATTCCATTTTGTGTTAATTTTGTGATTCTGTCTGCAATTTCCTCATTGCGGAAATCATAGGGTCCTACATTATCTCAGTCCTATTCTTATTATTTTTCACACCTGGAATTTTTTTCAGCTTACCCCCTGTAATATGGTCGCATATCAATGGTTGGGAATCACTGTTTTAGACCATTGTGAAGAGCTGAAGGAACTGGCCAAGGTCCTGAAAGTGCTGGAATATTTTAGGACATTGGACAGTGTGAAGGGCTGAAGGAACTGCCCAAGGTCCGGAAAGTGCTGGAATGTTTCAGGATATTGGACAGTGTGAAGGGCTGAAAGAACTGTCCAAGGTCCTGAAGTTGCTGGAATGTTTCAGGACCTTGGACAATGTGAAGGGCTGAAGGAACTGCCCAAGGTCCTGAAAGTGCTGGAATATTTCAGAACCTTGGACAGTGTGAAGGGCTGAAAGAACTGTCCAAGGTCCTGAAGTTGCTGGAATGTTTCAGGACCTTTGACAATGTGAAAAGATGAAGGAACTGTCCAAGGTCCTGAAAGTGCTGGAATGTTTCAGGACCTAGGACAGTGTGGAGGGCTGAAGGAACTGTCAAAGGTACTGAAAGTGCTGAAGGAAATCTCCAAGGTCCTGAAAGTGCTGGAATATTTCAGAATCTTGGGCAGTGTGAAGGGCTGAAGGAACTGTCCAAGGTCCCGAAAGTGCTGGAATGCTTCAGGACTTTAGACAGTGTGAAGGGCTGAAGRAACTGTCCAAGGTACTGAAAGTGCTGAAGGAACTCTCYAAGGTCCTGAAAGTGCTGGAATATTTCAGAACCTTGGGCAGTGTGAAGGGCTGAAGGAACTKTCCAAGGTCCTGAAAGTGCTGGGATGTTTCAGGACCTTGGACAGTGTGGAAAGCTGAAGGAACTGTCCAATGTCCCGTAAGTGCTGGAAAGTTTCAGGACCTTTGACAATGTAAAAAGATGAACTGTCCAAGGTCCTGAAAGTGCTGGAATGTTTCAGGACCTTGGACAGTGTGGAGAGCTGAAGGAACTGTCCAATGTCCCGTAAGTGCTGGGAAGTTTCAGGACCTTTGACAATGTAAAAAGATGAACTGTCCAAGGTTCTGAAAGTGCTGGAATGTTTCAGGACCTTGGACAGTGTGGAGGGCTGAAGGAACTGTCCAAGTTCTTAAAAGGGCTGGAATGTTTCAAGACTTTGGACAGTGTGGAGGGCTGAAGGAACTGTCCAAGGTCCTTGAAAGTGCTGGAATGTTTCAGGACTTTAGACCAGTGGTTCCCAAACTTTTTAGACTTGTGTACTCCCTGAGCCATTTTGTCATACCACTAGTACCCCTTCAGTCAAATATAATAATTCTCTAAAACTATAATGTTMTACAATTGATGATTAAATGAAAATTTATTTAACCCCCTAGAACATTTGTCAGTCATTTTATTTTTTCAACTCAAATTAAAGATAAAATGTTGCCTTGAAAGTGAATAATTAAATAAATAAACCAGGTTCAGGCAGTGTCCAAAATACATTGTATTGTCCAAAATACGTCAGAAACTCACCCAAATGAGCAAATTCCATGAGATTCCACGTTTTATACTGGATTCCATTTGCAATTTTCGCATTGTACAAATCATAGGTATAAATTCCCATGGGAATCACTGGTCTAAAGCCCAGACTGGTCCTAAATTTAACTTTAAAATTAGATTTTAAAAAGTCCCTGGGATGCTCAGGGGCACAGTGTGCGAACACTTCTAAATTGTTGCTGCATGGCGAGGATAGAAGCTGTGGTGCTTTCACCTGGGCTCGGACAACCTGCCCTGCTCTGATTGGGTAAACTATGGCTCTGGTCTGCTTCATTTGTTGAAACCATATCAGTTTAGTCCTGTATCATTAGATTGGATGTATTTAACAAGATCACAACAAAAACAGAAAATTTACAGATGATGGTTATCTCTCATGGCAATGGAAAACTTTAAGCCATGAATATCAACCCCCCCAAAATACTCTAGGAATGGTACGGATGATTATCTTTTATAGCTGTTTAAAAAAAACCCAACTTTCCAGGGCCTTGAACTAGTTTTTTCAAATTCACACATTTTTAAGGATTTCAAGGACCCTGAGAATTAATGAAAAACCAGAACTGTTTCAGGAAATTAGAATCTTACATGACATCAATAAAAAGGATTTTTAAAACACAAATTTCAGGCTTCTTGAAAGTATAATTTCTATGCTTTCAATACTTGGTTGGGCCTGTTTTTGAAAGAATTACTGCATCAATGCAGCGTGGCATGGTGATCAGCCTGTGGCTCTACTGAGGTTTCATGGAAGGCCAGGTTCCTTTGATAGTCTTCAGATCATCGGCATTGTTGGGTCTGATCTCTCACGATCCTTTTGACAATAGTCCATGGATTCTCACATTTCTTTGATGATTTAACAAATCAAACACTTCATTGCCATAAGAATCTAATCATTTATGTAAACATATATCTAGTCTAATTTTAATAAAACACACAGTTTTTGCCACAGTTTTATTTTAGCAACCATAAAGCATTGTATAAGATATAGAAAACAATTCTGTTGCATCAACTCAGGGGGAAAAGAAAAAGATAAAAAACAAAAACACAGCTATCTACATTTTTTTTTTAATATAAAAAAGAATAAAGCAATATAACTCAACTGTGAACATACTGTGCCTTTTGTGGAGCTGTCATGGTCCTTACCACATAGGCTTCAAAAATAGATCTACTAAACAGAACATCTACACTTACTTCAAAATAACACAAGTTGTTGTCCTTTCAACACCATTAGTTTAAAGCAAAATGCATATTACCACATTTGTTGACAGCAATAAAAAGACATTAAAATGAGTAATGCAACGTAAAGAAACCCTTTGTTTTGGATCATCATGTCATTAAGAACATCCCCATTAAACAGATGCATTACTGGAGAAGGCAGGAAGATTCTGGCACTAAAGCCAGTTGTCTGTGTCCTTCATAGGTTTAGAAGTTCCAGGTTCCTTCTCCAAACACCAGGAGAAAACCATTTCCTGGCAGCAAGAATCCATTCAATCAAAGCTCCATGTCCATTTCCAGCCTGTCTGAACCCACTGATGAAATGGTTCAAATTATACTAAACATTGAACTTGTCACATTGTATTCACAGGGATTGATGCCGTCCATTAAACTTGTTCTAGAATTTTATTCTGGGTGGCAAAAGTGTTGGTTTTTCTTAAACTGTGACTACATGGAAGGAAAACTCAGAGGTGCTCTTCAATCACAAGCTTCCACAAACTGGACCATACAAGACTTGTGTGTGTCCAGCCTTTTATATCACCTGGAGTGTTTCCTTCTCGTGTCCAAACATGTGCTTCAATTCAGAAGGACAAAACGTACATTAGGGACGGATAATCATCCTCACATTCCCTAAACGGAAGATAGTTTCATCTCCACAGTAACTATGATGTGAAATTTAAAACAAGTTTTCAAAGCATGAAGAGAGAAGGAAAGACTAATTAAGGAGAAACAAATACATATGTGGATTTTCTCAACATGACTGATGAGAGGAAATCATCCCCCAATGTTCTTTTTCCAGCCAATCACATCCTCCCATTGTCCCTCATTGTTTTATTATGTGTAGTTAAGATGAGGGTGAAGCAGGGGTGCTGGGTCACAGGGTGAGCTTGCAGTGGCACAGTTCTTTGTACATTTGCTTCCTGAGCCGGGGCATGTCCTGCTGCCCAAAGCTGAACGGCTGACCTAGTGCCAGGCACTTACAGTACTGCAAAATGAAGGAGAACAGATGAAAACATGTGAGTGAACTCAAAAATACAGGAACTACAGAACTTTACAACTACTTTTATTTAAGGTGATAACACTTTGTTGATTAAACATAACTATCAGTGGGAATCATTGATACCACTGTCAGTGCTGTTGTATACATTTAGATWTGCACCTCGGTCATCTGCCCACATCTGAGCTGCAGCTCCACATTTAAGTATTGCTTCTCTGTTCTGACTCAAAGACACTAAAACTGACTAAACTGAACACAACACACTACACCCAACGTTAAAATCCAAACACGCAAATATCTCAAATCTACCTACTAGGCCTGTCACAGTAACAAATTTGTTTGGAGACCATTATTTCTYATAGCTCTGGTTTTAATTGGCCTAAACATGGTTTAAAAACTGGGTTTGGAGTCAGTACTCTTGAAACGTGTGGTGTCTGATCCTTCAGGTTTTCCTGGTCCTGTTTATGGAWGGTGGCTCTGCACAGCTTCTTTCCTCAATCTGGTGTAAAACTTTCCTTGAAATACAGATCCCCAAACCATCGCTGACCCAAAATCCTCAAATCCAAAATGTTTGAAACACAGGACAATGTTTGTCGACGATGCTATGAAATCTGGCCATTTGACCAACTTCACCCATTTCTTGCAAATTTCATAGATTTTTGGAAAGTATTGGGCACTAACTGCCTCCTTGGCTGTACTCACACAGAACTGAGCAACACACTGATTTGGTAAGAATTTTTTTTTACTTTTACAACAGAAATCTTGCCTGAACTGGCCTCTGGTGTGATGTCACACTTACATGGAAGCAAGGGGCAACAACATTGCTTGCACATATAAACTAAAACCACAATAGCTGTTCAAAGGACAGAGTGGTAAGGTTTAACATTTATCTGGTCACCCAAGGAAATAAAGTCACCTGTAACAAAAAAACCTACTCACCTGTAGTACAAAAGCCCCACAGTCACTGTCATTGTTTTGGCGACCCACATTCTGTAACAAACAGCAAACACAGATTAGTTACACACCCTGAAGGGTAGAACACCCTACAACCACCCTAAAAACCTCCCACACTGAGCTGCTTTTCCATCTCAACAAATTAAAGAAACAACGAGCAAAATACACAAAACAAAAAAATATGCATTTACCATTTTAAAAAGGCCTTTCCACCCAGTCAAAAAGTCTTGTTTATCCTTTTTGATGGCTTCAGCTTGTAGATACTTGAAAATATGCTGCAATGAAAGAAAATGAATTTCCATCATCATCATCATCATCAAGTGCACCTACCCAGTTCAGGCAGGGTGCCCTGCTCTGCACAGAAAACCAGAATTGATTCTTCAGCCAKAAGTTACCACTTTCTAATGATTATAGCCACAAGATAAGTGGTTTTGACCTAACATTTGTAACATTTGTCCTACATTGCATCTCATTATATTCCTGACTGCTCCCTTCAATTCTCACTGTCCCATTCYGTCTTGGCGAAGGAATGGGACATGTGACTGAGAACAGATAACATCACAGCCAGGGACCGGCACAGGTAAGAGTRTTAACCCCAGATGGTGTGAAGTCACACTTACACGGAAGCAAGGGGCATGTAAGTGTCCCCTTCAGTTTTCTGAAGTCTTCCTTCAGAAAACTTCTTACACTTCTCTATCCCACCACCCGGTTTCCTTTTCTTTTCTCTGTCCAGATGGCACAACAAGTACCTTCCTACCCATTTCTCTAATCACTAGCCGCGTTTCCATTGCAAATGTGCGCAACATTTTGTTGATATTTTGTTAATGTAAAAATAAGAAAAAACAGTTTCGCAATTGCAGTGTTTCCATTAAGGATGAAGGACCAAGCAGTTGGTCTTAGCAGAGACCGTGGGACCATCACTTCAGAGGAAAGGGGACCTTTTATCCAATCAGGATACATGTCTGTCAGCCCTCAGAGGTAAGGCACTTCCTCWCTTTGTAAACAGTCTTTCTGCTGTGTTTAGTTTTTATCTGTTGTTTTGTTCTGCTAGCTGCCTTCCACTGATTGGTTGTGTTTTCTTCTCAGCACTGAGACAGATCATACAGACCAGTGGGACATTGCTGAAGGACGAGATTCACAAGGTAAATGTTTACAGATTACTGAAAGCATTGACTTTATTTTTCAGGCATGCCATTTACAGGGCTTGCCCAGGTGCTTTACATCTTTGAGGATGCTTGAATTTAAATGTGATATTTTCAGGATTTAAAAAAGTCTTGACAAATGAACAAAGTGCCTAAAGCTCCACCTGAAACTGATCATCAGATTTCACTCTCTTAAGCTGCGTTTCTRTTGCAAATGTGCGCAAAATTTTGTCGATATTCTGTTAATGTCGGAAAAACACAGTTTCGCAACTGCGGTGTTTCCATTAAGTAAGAAATACTATTAAAGTCACGCATGAATACGTTTGTTCTCGCGATAAGTCATTACAAACATGGCGGCAACGGATGTAAACACATAGCATGTTGCTACCACGACACTAGCGCTCATCATCAGCCATCAGAGGAGATGTCAGCATCTTATCGAGGCTTTCCAGCGACAAGCCCCTTATACCTGGGAGTGGCTACGTGTGCAGCGATTTTGGGAAATGGTAGTCGCTGAGTTTAATACTTTCTACTTTCTTCATCGTCGTCTTTTTCGCAAGTAGAAACAGCCGGTTCTTGATCATGTGACTCCCGTGATGCGAAAAAAGTGTTTCCATTGCAGTTTTGCGAAAAATACCATTTCAATATGGCCGAACCAAAATAGAGGTTACAGTTTCCATTGAGTAAATTTATTTTCTAAATTCTAATTTGCGCATTTTCATGATCAATGGAAACACAGCTAATTTTACTGCAGTAGTCCCCTTCTTACATCCAGAGCCTTTACCAGCTCCTCTCTGAACTCCTCACAACCTTCTTCCTTCCTCAACTTGTTCTTCAACTCTGCCTTTACTATTTTCATCTTCTTCACCAGAAAAGTCATCCTACACACCACACAGTAAAACATAAAATAAACTTTATGATAAATGAATATGTCATTGGTGATAAAAAAAAACTTTTTCTTAAAGTTTTACCCAGAAATGGTCAATTTAATAATGGGCTGTATTTTCTGGTAATATGAATGAAGACTGTTTTTAAACATTAGTGTTAGCTGCATGTTTTACAGCTGTAGCTGTAGAGTCAGTGTAAGATGCTCCGTTGTGTTCGTGTCGAGCCGTACCTTTGGACAACGCCTGTTGAGAGTCCGCTGAGAGTCAAAGTAGGTAATGGTTTGACGAGGAATGTCCACACTGACCAGTGACCAGTGAACCTCCAGGTGAATGGGGATCAATAGCAGATCCTTCTGGAAAATATCAACCTGACAACCCAGGAAGGAACAAATTAGTGAAAGGAGGAATTGAAACACTTTCCTTAGGAAATAAATGCTTATTAGCAAGGTCACTGAAGGTGTGAACTGAACAACTTGTAAGACCCTTGCACAGGCCTAAATAAAACTAAAAACTAAGGTAGTGCAGCAAATTTACACCTGTCTTTTAACAGGGAGGTCAATGGAGAAGCATTTCTCATTTACAATGACGACCTGCCAAAAAGGCAGCAACACAGGTAGGTAGAAAACAGCAATGATAAAAACATTACTTAAAAATAATGTATCAAATCCAGATGTGTGTGTGTGTG